TTACAATTTCCTGATGTTTTACAAATGTTTAATGGGGTAATAGTTCATACTCTGGTTATTTTATTTCCTTCTAGAGATGGATGAATACACAAATTCTTCATAAGCTTGCATATGGCTGTGGACAAAAGAAATTAATTACTGTGTCCACCAAAGGACAAAGATCAAATGGTGTTTCTTCTTTAGGAAAAACAAATGCACGTAGCAAAACTAAAGTACAGGAATATTGTAGCTGAATTATTTTATTTCTGAAACTGAAGGTGGGGGGATGAGGCTCCTGTCACATCTCTATATTTACAGTGGAAAGTCGATTGTACACAGTCTGTTGGAAATGACAGCGTTTCTATCAGGCTTCCCGTCAGCTGCCGCTGGCTGGAGTAGGAATTATCATCCTTCACTGGGCTGTCTTGCTTTATGATATCAATTAGCAAACAATCTGTTTTGTTGGCACAGGATAAAATTAGGATGCAAAACAGAGGGACTGTGAAGCAAAACATTTTTCACGGAGAAGTCTGTTGTCCTGAAGCACGGGAGGGAAAGACACTGTCATTTTTCTGAGTGGCAGTCGTTCTTTAAATTTCCACTGATGTCAGACTATTGACACTAATACACATAAGAACATTATCAGCTTTGATTCGGCTGTGCTGTTCAGGATGCTAACCCGACTTTAAAATATAAACCTTCCTTTTCTTTTTCATGGCTTTTTGGTAACTCTTGAATTTAATTGTTTAAAACCCTACTTACTTTCTTTAAAATGTATTTACAGACTCACACTACACATATAAAGCGGAAAGGAAAGCACACTAGAGGGCACTAGTAAGCCACACGATCTGTTTTTTGTTTTGTTGTTTGTTTTTTTTTCTTTTTTTTCCTTTAGCAATCTCATTTGCATGTCTTTAGGGATGCTGTTACTGCTTAAGCTTATCTGTCTGAGACTATTCATTTTTCTTTCTTTCTTCTTCTTCTTCTTTTTTTTTTTTCCTACCAAGCCCATTTGGCTTTTCTCATTGACCAGTAGAGTTCCAGACCTGATGGTTCATTATTTTGATAAGCTTTGTCCCACTTGGGTTGTCTGGGTGGCCTTTATGTCTTTATTGAAATCCCTGGGTCTTGTCCTGTGACATTTCTGATGTCATTTGAAAGAACATCTCTGCAGCTGCAAGTGATTGCTGCTTAAGCCCAATTTTAAGGCCTCAAAAAGCGCACACATCACTCCTGGGTATTTCTTTTAAGCCACACTTAAACCCTAGTCTCTGGAGGAGAAAGATGCTAAGTAATCTGCCACCTGGCCTGTCCTCACACAATTAGTGCAAAGCACAGATTTCTCTTCTGAGGGATATACCCGAACAGTTTTCCTGAAAGGTCAACTGAAATTTATGCTTCATGCTCAAAACCAGTCAGAAATAGTATAAGAGGATCTAAAGTGTGCCTAAAGAGAACTCACATTTTAATTAAACTAAGTAAAACAAGTTTATTGCGTTTCTCGGAGTATGCCAGGTTTTTTATTGTCCTTTTATTTAATAAGAATTAATGATTTTTGAGTTCTGTGAATGTTTTTAATTCATTTTTATTAAGATACTTCTTTGAGTTGCCTCTCTTTTGAAAGATTAGCTGTTAAAATCATTACCGTCTGCAGAATGAGATTTGTCTTAGTACATGTTCTGTGGCTGACAAGAGACACCATGATCATGGCAACTCTAATATAGGAAAGCTTTTAGTTGGTGTTTGCTTACAGTTCCAGAGGCTTAGTTTAGGCAGATAGCACAGCAGCATATCTACAGAGTGCTACAGAAGTACTTAAGAGTTCTACATCTGAATCTGCAGAGCCTCTAGACCTGGCTTGGACACTTGAAACCCAGGCCACCCCCCAAAACACTTCTTCACCAAGGCCACACATTCTAGTTCTTTCAAATAATGCCACTACCAGGTTATCAAGCATTTAAGTCTGTGAGCCTGTGGGGACCATCACAAGATTTTGTCTAAAAATAGAAAGTAAAATATATTTGCTGTGATAGAATATGTGCTTAGCACTTAAGGCTCTAGGGTCAATCTCTAGTATCATAACAAGGAATCAAAACAACAGCCAAAAGAAGTACTCCTCTAGTTAAATGGGAATCAAAATGATAACTAATTGGATGAAGTACACAATGTCAGATGAATGAGGAGGAGTCAGTTGTGGATTGAAAAGAAATCTGTGACTTTAAGCCAAGGCTATTTCCCTTTCATTAACTTTCTTCTACACAGAATAAGTACACCCCTGTTCCATACATGGCTGTTAATTCATTTCTTCCATGTTGTGGCAGGGCAGCGATGCTTACATCTGGTTTCCTGGCTCAGGCCATTTTATGTTTGACTAGAATTTCATCACCTTGATGAAAAATCCTGTGAAAAGTTATTCAACTCTGAACCCAAGGTCAAGATGGCCCAGCTAACTTAGCTTCTCTTTTATTAAACTGCCTGCCACGGAGGTCTCCCCCTCCAGGTAACCACTTTTCTTAGCTCCTGCTGAATTGACTGTTGAGCTGTAGAGTGAGATAATAGGATATGGGGTTTTGCCCTTTAGAGCTGCCTTGTTCTAAACTTCGGAGGGTTCACTTGGATCCCTCATGCCATCATGCCAACCTGATTGTAGTCCAAGTCTGCTAGGTGACTTCCAGTTGGCTACAAATTGTATCTCAGTAGTCTTCTCTAGAACACTCCCGGTAACAATATGACTTCTAAATAATTGCAGGAGTGATTTATTGAAAGAAGTTTTTCATTCAATGAAGATAACTGTAACTAATTTTTATTGGCTTTATTGAAACACAATTTACAAAATTAGGTAAATGGAAAGTGTTTTATGTGAATCTTTGAAACAGGGATAGGAAGAAATTAAAGAAAATATTATGCTTTTGAGTAACCAGAACAATGGGCAGGTTTGCAGTGCTATTGGGGGCAGCTTTGTGAGTGGTTGTATGAAAGAATGGCTCCTGGAAGGATAAACACATTATCTTGTTAATGGGGTAGTTATTACTCCTCTGTCTGTGTCTTCAGTGACTCAAATTTTCTATGTGGACTCCTGACCAGTAGATTAACAAAACCATTTGGATTATCTCTCAAAAGAGGAGACAATAGTCTGTAGTGTTTTAATCTTTATGGAAGAAGACCAGAATGTCACACCGGAAGACTGGTCCAGAGGTAGATTTTATTATTTTGATCAAGATGAAATAGTTTTCTCTTAATAATTCCCAAAAGATTTCCAAGAACCACTCCAGTGGCCTCCAAGACTAAAGTGGTAATCATTCTCTTAGGAGCTGAGCCCTTAAAATCACTGGGAGATAGTCTGGAATTGGAGAATAAATATAATACATTCCTACCACGAAAACCCAGAAGTTTGATTCTAAAATTGTTTACCAGAAACGAATAGCATATAGACTGAAATTTTGGCACAGCCCATATCTAGCCAGCAAACTTAGATACTTATTAAGGAAAACAGATAGCAATAAAGGGGAACTCCCTTCTGGTACTCCTGGCCTCTGGGATGTTATGGTGGTTTGAATAAGAACAGTCCCCATAGGTCTATGTAGGTATGGCCTTTTTGGAGAAAATATTTGCTGGTGATGGGCTTTAAGATTTCAAAAAACTGCACCATGCCCTGGCCAAAGCCAAGGTTGGTTCCCTCTTGCTCTCTTTGTCTCTGTCGTCTCTCTGTCTCTCTCTCTCTGACTCAGGGTGTAGTTCTCAGCTACTGCTCTGGTGCTGTGTATGTCACATGCTCCCTGCTATAATGATAATGGACTAAACTTCTTAACCTATAGGAAAGTCCCAAGTTAAAAACTTTCTTGAATAAGAATTTCCTTGGTCAGCAGGGTGGTGGTGGCACATGCCTTTAATCCCAGCACTCAGGAGTCAGAGGCAGGCAGATCTCTGTGAGGTTGAGGCCAGTTTGGTCTACAAGAGCTAGTTCCAAAGCAGACTCCAACAGAGAATCCCTGTTTCAAAAATCAAACAATAAGAAAGAAAGAAAGAAAGAAAGAAAGGAAGGAAGGAAGGAAGGAAGGAAGGAAGGAAGAAAGGAAGAAAGAAAGAAAGAAAGAAAGAGTCTTGAATGACTACTAGCACCTGTAGACCTTATGATAGCTCATTTCACCCCCAAACAAATTATGTGAGAAGTGCAGGTATCCATCCATCCTATAAAGGCAAAGATGGAAGTGGTTTCCAGCTGAGTGTGATTCACTGTTTACTTGGCATTGACATTAAACAGAATAATATAATGGACTGTGTGTGTGTGTGTGTATGTGTGTGTGTGTTTGTATTATTATAAAGGAATCTATTCAGATTGAAGAAAAATGATTTATTAGAAAACTCTAAAACACAGCAGGTTCATGAATGGTGGCTTTATTCACCAACAAACCATTGATAATTTAGTCTTTAAGAAAATATCTATAATGTGCTGGCAGTCCCCCAAATTTTGATGATTTTTTATAAGAATTAAAAACTCAGGAAAGCCTCTGTTCTTATGACTGTAGTACACTACACAGTGAGGACACAGACTAAAATGAGCAAAAACAAAATAAAACACAGAATGGAGTGTAATTTAAAAATATTTTAATTTTTTTTGAATGAATGCAGTTTGTACTTTATTTTTTTTAAAGTTTATTAAATTATAAAAGTTTCCATTTCCGCCCCTTCTCCCAACACCCTCCCACTTCCCCCACTCCCTCTCCTCCTCCCTCTCAATTATTTTTTGATGTTTTATCATGTGTGTGTTGTGTATATGCATGTTGATGAATGTAAACACAGTCACATGAATACCATGGCACATGTGTAGAGGTCAGAGGACAACCTTGAACGATGGCCTTCAGCTTTCACCTCTTTTGAAGAAAGGTCTCTTTGTTGTTGCATATTTCTGTGTATTCTTGTCTTGTTGGCCCTTGAGCTTCCATTTGCTGTCATGTTTCTGCTTCCCATCTTGTCATAGGAGGGCTTAGATTATAGGTACATAAACAACAGTCACCTACACCCAGGAAAGATCACAAATGCAGTCACCCACTACCATAAACTATGCAGCTGTGTTTCCTGCATTCAGAGAAATCCCAGGGGTCAGCACATTCTAGCCACTGTTACCCAGTAGATAAGCTTCTCCCTGGGAAAACCACCATCATTATCATGGTATCTCCCATTAGGTTAGCATACAATGCCCAGTTTTACATGAATTCTGGATAATCAAACTCAGATCCTCCTACTTGCAGGGCAAGCATTATATCCATTGAGCTGTCTGTCCTCCCAGGATATTTATCTTCTCCCAGGGTAATCACAGGTAGAGTGCCTCAGTTTCCCAATGTTATCAATCAAGAATGTTCATCCAAGTCTTGATATTTTATTTTAGGTAATCACAAGTAGTACACCTGAGTGCTGGTTTTTACTACTCACTATCAGAGGTATATCCAATAGCCTAGGACTCCAGGTGAACTAAACAGTATTTATTATAAACAGCATTTCCACATTAGCTATTTGAGTTGATCCCGACCCAAATTGTATGGAGACACATCTTCAGGCTATTTCAAGATTTGAAAGCCATCTTTCAAATGTAAGGCCAGTGCTGAAAACCTTGCAATGTGCAGTGTTATAGCAGACCAAGCCTGCTGAGATAACCCTTACTTCATATTAGAAAGGCTATGAATATATGCTCATCTCTACGTCCTACTACAGAAAATTTAATATAGCACATTTTCCATGGTACACATTACAGACATCCATTTCATTAAAAATATAAGACCATAGTCCTTGGTCAAAGTCTATAGAAAGAAGATATGTACCAAAAAAAGCTCAGATATAAAACTTATGGTAGAATTTGTCTTTCCAGGTTGATTTTAGGAATATCAATGAGGTTTAATGTGTAAGTCACCATTGAGTTTTTATCTATCAGAACACATATAGAACTAGACTTTAGGAATTAAGTAGAAAAAAACTGGAATTAAAGAGAGTCAGCAGAAAGCGCAGCAGAGTCCAAGGAGAGGTCCACTTAACGAGAGAGCTGGATTCCCCTAGATCTTGGCAAGGCCAGAAATAAGACACTAGTTGTACATGAAAAACTGCAGTAGGTCAGTCATCAAAATGATAGAGCAAGTTGCTAATTTTATAATGATGTTTATCAATTTGCCACCAATTTAAAGCTTTATAAGAACATTAATTTACTTTCCATTCAGTTCTCTAGGAGAAAGGTCTGAAGCAACTCCTATGGGGTTAAAATTAAGTTCTAGCTTGACAGGTATTTGATGTGGAGGCTCCTGGGGAAAACATGAGTATTTTGTTTTTAACAATATTCACCTACATTACAGGGGCCAGGGCTCCTTGATCCACCCTCAAAGTGCATTTCTCTCAACCTGATGCTCTTCTGCATCATTGTCCTACTCTGATTTCTGCACTTCCTCCGTTTTACTTTATTAGAACTCTCTCTCTCTCTCTCTCTGTGTGTGTGTAGGACCTAACCAGTAACTAACAGTAATCTTCCTCCTTGTTCACCTCAAGTTCTTCACCTAAATATATTGATAAATTTCCTTTCCCCTTATTGCAATGTATTCACATATTCCAAGGTTTAGAGTAGGAACTTGTAAGGGTCATTGCTTTAATTGTCAGAAGAAACATACACCCAGGAATAACTAGGGTTGAAAACGTGTATCAAATGCTGTGGCTTTGGGATAAGTAGCCCAGTCAGTTTCTAAGAGAATATGCCTATTGTTTTGTTTATTCAGAAACTGCCATCCATCAATGAATGGACCATAAACCCCCTAAATCCCAACACCATTTACAAGGTTTTTATTTCCTCCCACAGATGTAGTGGTTCCAAAAAAATCAGCCATTGATTTTCAAGAGAAAGTTTTATATTTATAATAAGTACCATAGGAGTTACCTCAATAGCTATCATTTAGTCTGCATTTACTATACATCTAATTGGCCAACCATGCATCTACAGTATACAGTTATTGTTATACCCTTTGAAACAACATGTTTTATATTTCTTAAAGAAGACAATGAATCAAATTGCCACTAACCTGCTCTGACATAACTTTAGAAGAAGCCTGAGTTAATAGATTTGCTCTTGTGATACCCTTTTCCTCTCATAGTTTTCTATCCACAACTTATTTTATTTTCATATTAATATTTCAGGTTATACACTTTTACAATTGCTAAAACAAACATAAGGATAATAATTAGTGTTTTCTTGCCAAAGTTTGAATTATTCCTTGAGGGAAGACAGTAGTATCGAAACAGAAATCTTACATGAAAGGTGAGGAGACATTTCTTTCTTTCCAACAACAGAAGTACCACTTCTCACATATTTTTAATCTCTTTGGGCTGACAACATCTTGGTAAAATATAACATTGGTATCATGGTATAGTTTTATCATGGACAAGATACTCTCATGCTTATCTGTATTGCTCCAAAATGATTTGAAATGAAATTGCACAATATAAAATATAGGGAAATTGGTGTCACTTTTTGATACTTAGATTTGAGACAGCCTCTCCAACCTTGAAGTTCTGCTGGTGGGACGGACTCCACCCACATGTATTTCTTTGTGCTATGGGAAATGAAAACACTTTGAACATCAACCTTCTGCACTTGTATTTACAATACAAGTTAGAAAAAACATCTGCAGAAGTGTATGCCAAAGGACTAGCCCTTGACAGGTAGGGTGAGAACGTTCCTCCTTCAAGCCCCAATTCCTCGAAAGAAATTTTCTCCTAATCTGTAATCTGATCACTTCAAGTTCGGAGAATGCATTAAGGTATGGGTAAGACTCTAGGGACAGCTGTTTCTCCTTTTTGCTGTCTAAGTTCAGCTTGTACGTCAAGAATATTCCATATAAATTCATTGTGTGGAAACTCTAGATGTGAATTTCCATATTTTCTTGAAATTGTTTCCAGAAATCTTTTCTTAGAGCACATGCAGTAGTAAGTAAGAAAGAAATAGATATTTTTAGCACCAATTCTCTCTTGTCAGAACTGAGCACTGGGCTCTCAGTTATGAGACTATGGTGTCATGTGCTTGGTCCTTGAGGTTTTAGATTCATTGTATTCAAAGTCTTAACTTTAATTGACAAGTGTGCAAAGTTTCCTTAAATTTATCTTCCTAAAAGACGGAGGCTGTTAATCATCCCCCCATTGTTCCAAAAATAGGGCAATAGCATCTTTCAGATATTAAGTCTGAAGGCGAACATTTCTCTCTGACAACAAGCATAACAATTTGCAATCCATTCTGTTAAAGAAAGAAAATAAATGGTTTGGATTTTACTCTTCTTTATACAGTCAACCATATTATGCCTGTTATAAATCTTCTCTGAAATCCTACTATATAAGTAGCAAAGAAACTGATATTCAAGCTAACATATATTAATTGAAGTATTAACGTCCTTTGTTACAGAGAATAATTTGGTTTTAAATTCAGATTTATAAGAATGTACTCATTTTGTTATATCTTAGATGCATTTATGTGTATCTGTCACAGGTTCAAATAATCAGCATCAGTAGTGGCCAACACATAATGAACAGCTTCCTTTCTTAAGGCTAATACCCATGTCACTATGTTTAATTATTGTCTTGTTCATGTGTACATACATGTTCATAGGTACACAGGCCCTTGTATGTTATATGAGTGAGTGTATAGAGGTCAAAGAACAGCCTCAGATAGCATCCCCAAGAAGACTATCCAACTTCTTTGAGATAAGGGTTTTTTTTTTTTTGGGTGGGGGGGGGGGGGGGGGGGGCCGGCCCCCCCCCCCCCCCCCACAGACACTTCCGAATTTGCTTATACTGCATGATTGTTTTATGTCCACTTCCTCAGCCCTGGCCCATTAGAGGCACATATGAACACACCTGCCATCTTTAAGTTGGTTCTGGGAATACAACCCTGGTCCTTGTGTTTGTGAGACAACACTTTACAGCTATGCCATCCCACCAGCGCTGCATAATTCTTCCTTCAGCAGTGTGTGCAAAATGAATACGAAAGCTGCTATTGAATGATAGTGGTGGACGTGTTTATGTGCTGACTGCGGTGAAGATTGCACAAATACATGTATATGCTCAAACTCATTGATGGTTTATGTTCAACTCTATGGAGAATTTGTCTATTTCTTGTATCTTAATAAAAAGCTAAAATAACTAATCAGACTCCGAAGTTAGGCTTTATGCAACCAGGCTACTTTCCCAGAAATCACACTTTGAAACAAGTGCTTAAAAGTCCACTAATTAAATTTATTTACTTCTGTACTTGATGGTAGAATCAGAGAAAAGCAGACACTGTGGCAAATTTTCATCATAATGCTCTGGAAAGATGCAGGAAAAAATGATTTGATTAGGGTTTCTTCAGTGAGCTAAGGTTTGTTTTGTTGTTGTTGCTTGGTAATTAAAAGATTAGTTTCACATAGAATCTTAATAATTTTGAGGTCGCTGATAACATTTTCCAAAAATATCAGGTTGTATGTATTGTTTATATTGTATCCAGCAACAAACTTGTTAAAGTTCTACGTACAGATTGGGTCAGCTTTCACTCAAAAGCAGAGGTAAGGGGCTAAAAGTAGCCCAGCCTTTGCAAATGAAGCAAGGATAACAGTATGGTCAGAGAGGCTTACCGACCACATCATTCCTTACCTGGTACTTACGTGAGAACATCTAAATTCAATTTGCCAGTTTTCCTTGCAGTTGGATACTTGTGGCTTACCTCTGGCCAGGTGTCACTCAGTTTAGGTGTGGTCTGTGTAAGTCTCTTTGTCATGACTAGGAGAGAGACAGATTCATAGTACTCTTGATGGCTCTATGCTACATATTGGAGGGACCATGGACCTCTAAGTTTTTTCCCAGAATAGAGCTGCCCAAAGGAGGTATTAAACCAACAATACCTTCAAATGGCTATTATGGTAGTGAGAGTAGAGTAAAAGGTAAAGGTTAATTAATAATTAAAATGTCAAATATTTACTCCAACTGCTAGCCTCATCATAACCAATGCAGTTGTTAATTTTTGCAACTATTTTGGTCCGTATTTGAGTAAATGGTATCTCGTCCTTCCCTAGGCTAAAAACAATGCTAAAGAATATGCATTAAAAATAATAATGAAGATGTTAGTTGTTCTCATGAAAAACAAGTGTTGCAATAGTCAGTGAGGGTTTGCTTTTGAATTATGCTTCTGTCCCA